TGCCTATATACATACATGCATTCTTGGAGCCACTTTCCCTCTTTCACGTACAAACATGCTTATGAATCTTGCATTTGCATGTTCCTTTTGCCAAACAGACTTTACTTTCGTGTATCTCGTCTCCTTGTTTTGCAAATTGGTCTATCTACGAACGGCTGTTTTAGCGCGTAAGCCAGAAGGTCGACATCCCGTACTTGTTTAAGGGCGTGTTCGACCCTATTGCGCACTCGAGATATGACTGTCTTGGTCAGGGAATCGTGACGTGACAATACGAATGATATAAAAGAGGGAGGAGATAGACAAAGAGTAAAATAGATAGAATAGTAAAAAAAAAAAAAAAAAAAAAAAAATGGAAAGAAAAAATCATATCATCTGTCTCTTCAACATTTCAGATCCACCTCCACCCAAAATGATAAAAAAGAACGGAGTAAACCGAAATACTCAATTCAGATACCGAAAAGGAGACACAAGGGGGTGGTGGTGGTGGAGGAGGAGGAGGAGGGGCGGGGGTAGGAGGAGGGGTAAGAGGAAGAGGCGAGAAAGGATGAGGAGATAAGAGGAGGAGAAGGGGGAAGGGGCGATAAGAGGAGGAGGAGGGGGAAGAGGCGAGAAAGGATGAGGAGGAGAGAGGATGAGGGGTAGAAGGAGAGGAGGAGGAGGCGGAGGTGGAGAGAAGAAGAAGAAGAAAGAGGAGAGGAGGGGGGAGAGGAGGGGAAGGGGAGAGAGTTGGCTCGCATAGTTTTAGCTGAATTTACCAGGCGAATCCGCACGACTGACCAAGCGAGGGAACTGGCGACTCATTCAGTGGCTGGAGTAGACTCGACGTAGGAGAGGACTGGAGGGAGGGAAGGGGTGGGGTCCGGAGGGAGGGTAAGAGGGCCTCCGATAAGAAAAAGTACTTTTGGTAACTAGTCATACCATCTTTGTTGTTCCTTTGTTTCATTTGTTCCCGTGGCCTTGGTGATGAGTTGTTGCAAAAGCAATCTTTTCTTCTATTCTTCTATTTTCCTTATTTATTTTCCTGCCATTATACATCAATATCGTCCATGTAATTACACCATCCGTCACTGTCATCAGTAATGCCGTGGCGCATTGAATGTAAAACCAAACGTAAGCTTGTCATTGAAAAGAAAGAAAGAGAGAGAGGGAAAAAATACGCTCTGGGAATCTCTTAAGCCGAATTTTATTCCTGAAGACAAGGAAGACAAAACAAAAGAAATTTCGAACGCGATGTGAACACGGAGTCAAAGGTCCCAAAGTGTCAAGAACTTTTCTCTAAGATCTGCCCTGTTTAGTGAACCATTTATGCACTCGCGAATTCTCTTTTATTTATCTTCCATTTACTTTGTTTATCACTTGTTCATTTATAGACATATTCTTTTCATATGTTTTTGTTTTTTATTTGCCACCTATACACTCAGGAATTCACTTGAATCTATTCTACGTAGTTATAAATTCCATAACAGTATTTATAGTCGTATGGAATACCATATCAAGGCATAATACTCTTATTAGGGTCACTATCGGTCATCAGATCTGCCAATATTTCCCTAGAATTTAGCGATGCTGTATATGAAAATACAAGCCTAAATATTGCATATTCATCTCTTTATCACGACTATGGGGAAGAGAAAATAACTAGACATTAATTTTTCTTCAGCATCAGTTATAAGGAAGAGAACTGTAGAACTGAACATAATTGTATCTTCCTGCAGTATTGGTTATAGGGGAGAGAGAGCATAACAGAGCTTGATTTCAAAAGCTCTGCAAGCCATCACCACCCTCCTAACATAGTGACTCCAACATACCTTATCTCCTTTGTACCAAAACGGTTCTGCCTGTGGCGTGCAAAGGCACAACTGGTCCTCTGGAATTCTTTTTCAGTGAACATTGTGTAACTGTGCCATTTTCACTTGGTTCGTGGGTCTCCCTGCTTTCCTTTGATTAATTTGGATGCTGGATTATTGGTTTATTTTAGATTGCGGTGTTAAATACGTGAATACTAATTGAGTGTTATCAGAGCATTTTCAAAACAACTTGGTCGAGAAAGATATTGATTCTTAATCTTTAAGAGCATTTTATGTTTTCTTATATTCCATCAGAGACTCTCAATCTTAAAACCCCTATCAAAACTGATGGAAAACAGTAACGAGAAAAGGAAAAGGAAAAAAAAGAAAAACGCATAATGACTTTGAACTCCACAAGTAAGTAAAAGTCTTCAGAGACATTACCTCGAGCCAAGTGTGTGCCCTCGGGAATGGGCTGGGCGTCGGGAGCTACATTCATTAGGCTTAGGAATTTTAGCAGGGCTTTTTGATTTGCAATAGCTTTATTTATTTATTTATTTTATTATTATTTTTTATAATTTTTGCCTTTTGCCTTCACTTTAAATTGATTGCACAGTTATTTAGATTTACTAGTAACTAGGTTGACTATTTACAGTGAAGTTATTCATGGCCTAATTTACTGTTGACTCGTATATACCTTTGACTTTTTACATTTCGTTTAACCAGGACTCCAAAATGATTCCTCCATTTCTTCCTGCTGCGATAAGGGCTATTTTCAGAAGTTATTCGTGATGGGATTTTTAGATCACATTGCAACAAACTCGTATACTTATTTCGCAACGGCAATATCACTGACGTTGCATTAAAATCCATCTCCAACCAACTTCGTGATT